TGGCAGATAATCTGCTAATAAAGGAAATCCCGGCCTGATTAGCCTACACACGTCAAACAACAGTTAGCGACACAGATCTCATTCTCATCAAGTCTCTGATGCTAGGGTTTGCCTTATATTATATATACACACACTACGTTTACAACTCTTCCAAGTTCGAAGCAAGTAGTAAAGCATTCTCTCCTTGCTCAAATCTCCATAGCTAGCCACACCAAAATGAGCCAGTCCAGTTCCACACGCTCTATGAGCTTGATGTGTTTCATCACCATCACTGTCGCCCTGTTTCTGTTGCTTGTTACAACCACCCATGCTAGGATCTTAGACCAAAATCAACAAATAAGCTTTCCAGAACAATTCTCAATTCCCCAGAATGCTTACCCAGACCATGAACAAGAACAAGAAAGAAGCTTTGCAAGCCAGTTCTTGATTCCCCATAATGCTGCACGGTCCAAGGTCAGAGTGCCACCATTGGTGTGGAGCGCAAAGCTAACACGCTACGCACAGTGGTATGCAAACCAGAGAAGCAATGATTGCGCCCTTGAGCATTCCAACGGGCGATACGGTGAGAACCTATTCTGGGGTGGCGGAGCTGGGTGGACCCCAGCACAAGCTGTCAAGCTTTGGGCCGAAGAGGAGCAATATTACGATTACAATCTTAATTCTTGTGATGAAGGACAAATGTGTGGTCATTATACTCAGATTGTGTGGAACAACACTAGGAAGGTTGGCTGCGCTAGCGTTGCCTGCTCTGGTGATCAGGGTACCTTCATCACTTGCAATTATCATCCTCCTGGCAACTACATTGGAGAAAGACCTTACTGATATTCCCGATTAGCGAGTCACATAATTCAACAATGTGACAGAGTACTCATTATCTGTTTGCCTTGTTGGTTTAATTATTTCCTAGACTTGTGTTTCCTGCATTAAATCGTTTACAACTATTTTATATATGTCATTATCGTTTCGTTAAAATAATGATTATCTATGTCATTATCGTTTACAACTGTTTTTTGTAATATTTATTTTTCAAGGCTTCGTAAAAATTGACTATATATAGTATTAGGAATCAATATGGGTGGTAAAATTGATTGAGATGATCCGTTATTCAATATCCCGCGCGACATGACATGCCAAGCCAAAAAAATGCATTGCAAAAATAACACGAATTATTATCATATTGTTTTACGGGGTGATTTATGTGTTAATCCCTGAATTTTTTTTGGTCTAAAAAAAAATTATTGAAGTTTTTTATAATTTTAACACGACCGGGATCATGATTCAACCCACACATTCCATCTATGCTTTCTTGCTATTTTAATTGTTTAAAAAATTTAAATTTTTAATTTTTGATTTCAACTCATGCTCTGTGACTCATGACATGTCGTATTCAAAAGTTAATTTTTGACTCGTACGTAAATAAATAATTGTCATTTCAAATTAAATTTAGTTACGGATCAAACCTTTCTACGTCACGAATCCAACCCAGTAATACCTTTTGCCATCCCATGGGGCTAGATTTGTGTCGTGCTAATAAGTACTAACCGTGGGCTGTGTTATGGCAGGCCCTCTTGATATTCTTAAATCCTAAGTTGGCAAAAGAATTTAATTAATGTTTTTTAATAAAATAATTATGTATTTATTACAGTTTTGGAAATAATTACGGATCTATTGAACAATGTGGCGTCTCTCTTGGGCGTCACATGTGACACCTCATTTGGGCGTCTCACCCTAAGGGGAGACGCTCCAATGGGGCGTCTCTCATGAGGTGTTGACACGTGTCATTTTTTTTCCAAAAAAAAAAATAATAATTTAATCATAACTTTTGACTCAGGTATCCAATTCAGGTAATTCTTTTTTTGATTCCACATAACTTTTCAAGATCTACGCAATGACATCTCATTTGATTAAATTAAATCACACATCAAATCACAAACGCAGAACTCAGAGGCTTCTGAGTTTAAAAATGTGACACATATCAACTCCTGACTCGAGTTTAAATATTATTTATTATATTTTCATTTCAGGTAAAATTTCTTTATCATATTTTTTGTACGAGGGTTGGTGCATAATTTTTTTTTATTTTTTTACATGGTTGGTGCATAATTTTTTTTTTGTGTGTGCATGATTGGTGCATAATTCTGATTTGTAATTGTATTGCTTCAATCAAAAAGAATCTTCTATTTTAACACTATTCAATCATAGAGAATAAAAATGGCAGATAATCTGCTAAAAAATGAAATCCCGACCTGATTAGACTACACGCGTGAAACAACAGTTAACAACACAGATCTCATTCTCATCAAGTCTCTGATGCTAATTATCCCATCGTTGGAGTTTTACATTGATTAAAATATTAAAATTGTCACACACTATTCAATCATGGAAAATAAAAATGGCAGATAATCTGCTAATAAAGGAAATCCCGGCCTGATTAGCCTACACACGTGAAACAACAGTTAGCGACGCAGATCTCATTCTCATCAAGTCTCTGATGCTAGGGTTTGCCTTATATTATATATACACACACTACGTTTACATCTCTTCCAAGTTCGAAGCAAGTAGTAAAGCATTCTCTCCTTGCTCAAATCTCCATAGCTAGCCACACCAAAATGAGCCAGTCCAGTTCCACACGCTCTATGAGCCTGATGTGTTTCATCACCATCACTGTCGCCCTGTTTCTGTTGCTTGTTACAACCACCCATGCTAGGATCTTAGACCAAAATCAACAAATAAGCTTTCCAGAACAATTCTCAATTCCCCAGAATGCTTACCCAGACCAAGAACAAGAACAAGAAAGAAGCTTTGCAAGCCAGTTCTTGATTCCCCATAATGCTGCACGGTCCAAGGTCAGAGTGCCACCATTGGTGTGGAGCGCAAAGCTAACACGCTACGCACAGTGGTATGCAAACCAGAGAAGCAATGACTGCGCCCTTGAGCATTCCAACGGGCGATACGGTGAGAACCTATTCTGGGGTGGCGGAGCTGGGTGGACCCCAGCACAAGCTGTCAAGCTTTGGGCCGAAGAGGAGCAATATTACGATTACAATCTTAATTCTTGTGATGAAGGACAAATGTGTGGTCATTATACTCAGATTGTGTGGAACAACACTAGGAAGGTTGGCTGCGCTAGCGTTGCCTGCTCTGGTGATCAGGGTACCTTCATCACTTGCAATTATCATCCTCCTGGCAACTACATTGGAGAAAGACCTTACTGATATTCCCGATTAGCGAGTCACATAATTCAACAATGTGACAGAGTACTCATTATCTGTTTGCCTTGTTGGTTTAATTATTTCCTAGACTTGTGTTTCCTGCATTAAATCATTTACAACTATTTTATATATGTCATTATCGTGTCGTTAATATAATGATTATCTATGTCATTATCGTTTACAACTGTTTTTTGTAATATTTATTTTTCAGGGCTTCGTAAAAATTGACTATATATAGTATTAGGAATCAATATGGGTGGTAAAATTGATTGAGATGATCCGTTATTCAATATCCCGCGCGACATGACATGCCAAGCCAAAAAAATGCATTGCAAAAATAAAACGAATTATTATCATATTGTTTTACGGGGTGATTTATGTGTTAATCCCTGAATTTCTTTTGGTCTAAAAAAAAATTATTGAAGTTTTTTATAATTTTAACACGACCGGGATCATGATTCAACCCACACATTCCATCTATGCTTTCTTGCTATTTTAATTGTTTAAAAAATTTAAATTTTTAATTTTTTATTTCAACTCATGCTCTGTGACTCATGACATGTCGTATTCCAAAGTTAATTTTTGACTCGTACGTAAATAAATAATTGTCATTTCAAATTAAATTTAGTTACGGATCAAACCTTTCTACGTCACGAATCCAACCCAGTAATACCTTTTGCCATCCCATGGGGCTAGATTTGTGTCGTGCTAATAAGTACTAACCGTGGGCTGTGTTATGGCAGGCCCTCTTGATATTCTTAAATCCTAAGTTGGCAAAAGAATTTGATTAATGTTTTTTAATAAAATAATTATGCATTTATTACAGTTTTGGAAATAATTACGGATCTATTGAACAATGTGGCGTCTCTCTTGGGCGTCACATGTGACACCTCATTTGGGCGTCTCACCCTAAGGGGAGACGCTCCAATGGGGCGTCTCTCATGAGGTGTTGACACGTGTCATTTTTTTTCCAAAAAAAAAAATAATAATTTAATCATAACTTTTGACTCAGGTATCCAATTCAGGTAATTCTTTTTTTGATTCCACATAACTTTTCAAGATCTACGCAATGACATCTCATTTGATTAAATTAAATCACACATCAAATCACAAACGCAGAACTCAGAGGCTTCTGAGTTTAAAAATGTGACACGTGTCAACACCTGACTCGAGTTTAAATATTATTTATTATATTTTCATTTCAGGTAAAATTTCTTTATCATATTTTTTGTACGAGGGTTGGTGCATAATTTTTTTTTATTTTTTTACATGGTTGGTGCATAATTTTTTTTTTTTGTGTGCATGATTGGTGCATAATTCTGATTTGTAATTGTATTGCTTCAATAAAAAAGAATCTTCTATTTTAACACTATTCAATCATAGAGAATAAAAATGGCAGATAATTTGCTAAAAAATGAAATCCCGACCTGATTAGACTACACGCGTGAAACAACAGTTAACAACACAGATCTCATTCTCATCAAGTCTCTGATGCTAATTATCCCATCGTTGGAGTTTTACATTGATTAAAATATTAAAATTGTCACACACTATTCAATCATGGAAAATAAAAATGGCAGATAATCTGCTAATAAAGGAAATCCCGGCCTGATTAGCCTACACACGTGAAACAACAGTTAGCGACGCAGATCTCATTCTCATCAAGTCTCTGATGCTAGGGTTTACCTTAAATTATATACACACACTACGTTTACATCTCTTCCAAGTTCGAAGCAAGTAGTAAAGCATTCTCTCCTTGCTCAAATCTCCATAGCTAGCCACACCAAAATGAGCCAGTCCAGTTCCACACGCTCTATGAGCCTGATGTGTTTCATCACCATCACTGTCGCCCTGTTTCTGTTGCTTGTTACAACCACCCATGCTAGGATCTTAGACCAAAATCAACAAATAAGCTTTCCAGAACAATTCTCAATTCCCCAGAATGCTTACCCAGACCAAGAACAAGAACAAGAAAGAAGCTTTGCAAGCCAGTTCTTGATTCCCCATAATGCTGCACGGTCCAAGGTCAGAGTGCCACCATTGGTGTGGAGCGCAAAGCTAACACGCTACGCACAGTGGTATGCAAACCAGAGAAGCAATGACTGCGCCCTTGAGCATTCCAACGGGCGATACGGTGAGAACCTATTCTGGGGTGGCGGAGCTGGGTGGACCCCAGCACAAGCTGTCAAGCTTTGGGCCGAAGAGGAGCAATATTACGATTACAATCTTAATTCTTGTGATGAAGGACAAATGTGTGGTCATTATACTCAGATTGTGTGGAACAACACTAGGAAGGTTGGCTGCGCTAGCGTTGCCTGCTCTGGTGATCAGGGTACCTTCATCACTTGCAATTATCATCCTCCTGGCAACTACATTGGAGAAAGACCTTACTGATATTCCCGATTAGCGAGTCACATAATTCAACAATGTGACAGAGTACTCATTATCTGTTTGCCTTGTTGGTTTAATTATTTCCTAGACTTGTGTTTCCTGCATTAAATCGTTTACAACTATTTTATATATGTCATTATCGTGTCGTTAATATAATGATTATCTATGTCATTATCGTTTACAACTGTTTTTTGTAATATTTATTTTTCAAGGCTTCGTAAAAATTGACTATATATAGTATTAGGAATCAATATGGGTGGTAAAATTGATTGAGATGATCCGTTATTCAATATCCCGCGCGACATGACATGCCAAGCCAAAAAAATGCATTGCAAAAATAACACGAATTATTATCATATTGTTTTACGGGGTGATTTATGTGTTAATCCCTGAATTTCTTTTGGTCTAAAAAAAAATTATTGAAGTTTTTTATAATTTTAACACGACCGGGATCATGATTCAACCCACACATTCCATCTATGCTTTCTTGCTATTTTAATTGTTTAAAAAATTTAAATTTTTAATTTTTGATTTCAACTCATGCTCTGTGACTCATGACATGTCGTATTCCAAAGTTAATTTTTGACTCGTACGTAAATAAATAATTGTCATTTCAAATTAAATTTAGTTACGGATCAAACCTTTCTACGTCACGAATCCAACCCAGTAATACCTTTTGCCATCCCATGGGGCTAGATTTGTGTCGTGCTAATAAGTACTAACCGTGGGCTGTGTTATGGCAGGCCCTCTTGATATTCTTAAATCCTAAGTTGGCAAAAAAATGTAATTAATGTTTTTTAATAAAATAATTATGCATTTATTACAGTTTTGGAAATAATTACGGATCTATTGAACAATGTGGCGTCTCTCTTGGGTGTCACATGTGACACCTCATTTGGGCGTCTCACCCTAAGGGGAGACGCTCCAATGGGGCGTCTCTCATGAGGTGTTGACACATGTCATTTTTTTTCCAAAAAAAAAAATAATAATTTAATCATAACTTTTGACTCAGGTATCCAATTCAGGTAATTCTTTTTTTGATTCCACATAACTTTTCAAGATCTACGCAATGACATCTCATTTGATTAAATTAAATCACACATCAAATCACAAACGCAGAACTCAGAGGCTTCTGAGTTTAAAAATGTGACACGTGTCAACACCTGACTCGAGTTTAAATATTATTTATTATATTTTCATTTCAGGTAAAATTTCTTTATCATATTTTTTGTACTAGGGTTGGTGCATAATTTTTTTTTATTTTTTTACATGGTTGGTGCATAATTTTTTTTTTGTGTGTGCATTATTGGTGCATAATTCTGATTTGTAATTGTATTGCTTCAATCAAAAAGAATCTTCTATTTTAACACTATTCAATCATAGAGAATAAAATGGCAGATAATCTGCTAAAAAATGAAATCCCGACCTGATTAGACTACACGCGTGAAACAACAGTTAACAACACAGATCTCATTCTCATCAAGTCTCTGATGCTAATTATCCCATCGTTGGAGTTTTACATTGATTAAAATATTAAAATCTTCACACACTATTCAATCATGGAAAATAAAAATGGCAGATAATCTGCTAATAAAGGAAATCCCGGCCTGATTAGCCTACACACGTGAAACAACAGTTAGCGACGCAGATCTCATTCTCATCAAGTCTCTGATGCTAGGGTTTGCCTTATATTATATATACACACACTACGTTTACATCTCTTCCAAGTTCGAAGCAAGTAGTAAAGCATTCTCTCCTTGCTCAAATCTCCATTATCGTTTCATTAATATAATGATTAATTTATATACTTCTCTTTTTTTTTTTTTTGGAATTTTTATCTTTCAAGGCTTCGTAAAAATTTACTATATATAGTATTAGGAATCAATATGGGTGGTAAAATTGATTGAGATGATCTGTCATTCATCCCGCGCGACATGACATGCCAAAAAAATGCATTGCAAAAATAACACGAATTATTATCATTTTTTTTACGGGGTGATTTATGTGTTAATCCCTGAATTTTTTTTGGTCCAAAAAAAATATATCGACTTTTTTTTTATAATTTTAACATGACCGGGATCAGGATTCAACCCACACATTCCATTTATGCTTTCTTGCTATTATAATTGTTTAAAAAATTTAAATTTTTGATTTTTGATTTCAACTCATGCTCTGTGACTCATGACATGTCGTATTCCAAGGTTAATTTTTGACTCGTAAATAAATAAATGTCATTTCAAATTAAATTTAGTTACGGATCAAACCTTTCTACGTCACAAATCCAACCCAGTAATACGTTTTGCCATCCCATGATTTGTGTCGTGCTAATAAGTACTAACAGTGGGCTGTGTTATGGCAGGCCCTCTTTATATTCTTAATTCCTAATTTCTGTCTTGACCAAGTTACAATGATTGATCCCATTTAATTCCATCCCCACTAATTAATATGTTACTTGTAGTAATTTGCAAGCTCAATTATATTTTGGATGCTCGTAAAATTAGTATACGCGTATGTTTACCACAATGACTAAAATGCTGTAACCTATACCGTCATATTCTGATCTACATTTTATTTTCTATTTTCTACCTTTACTGAAATTAAGTATACATTTACTTAAAAAGGAAATAGAAGAAGAAGAAATTGAGTATATATCATAATCGCTGTAGTGCATACGAGCTACCAATTTTCAATAAAAACTGTCACGTCTGTGGAGTTTGCATATTGCAGTCTGCAAACCCAACTCCTACAAGAAGGACTTTACTTTCGAAGTCGTAATATCTTTAGTTACTAATCTCGATCGAGAAGCTTTTTGGAGAGGAGATGCATATAAATCATATTTAAAAAAAAATTAGGCTTAAAGAGATTACTTGTATGACACCGATATCAACACAATTAAAGAATTAGAGATTTGGGCCCCTCAATCAGCAATATGATACAATGAATATAAAAGAGAGGGATTCTGGATTGTCATCGTGTGACCGGATATATTAAAAAATATGATGTAAAAATTATTAATATAGGATTTAATGTATCTCCTGTAAATAGAGATAAATTATTTCTAATGAACCCAAAACGATTTCGTTTAGAGGCCAGTTTGGTGCCCAGATTATTTTTGAGTTCCTTGGAATGTATGGTAGGGAGAATTATAATGTCACATTTGGTAGGTAAAAATAGAAAGCTTTCTCGGGTAAAATATTTTGCCAGTTTTTGCTGTTGCGTGTAAAACTTTGGTATGGCTACCATGTTAGGAACTAGGAAGTCCATGGATTATGTGATATAATTTTTTGCTCGGGGAAGTGAAAAAAGAACAGAATTTTGTGGACCAAATTAACCCTTCTCTTTTGTACTGTTTTAGTCTGTCCCTCCTCTCTTCTCTCCACCTACATTGGCCATCATCGTGACAAAACCTGATTCACCTCCCTTACTTGGGACAAGGACGCCATGGGAGGTGACGCTACAGCTGAGAGGGCGACGGAGCATAAAGCCGCCGATGTAGTCAACATCAACATTCGCTACTCCAATGGTTCAGTTCTCCGTTCTGATTAGCCTCGAACAGTGGTCTCAATGGCTTATTTGGAGTGGGCTTTCCAGATCTTGAACAAATGCAACAACCATTTTTGTCAAATCCTAATACAGTGAGAGAAATATTCAGCACCCATTTCTGAACCAGCTTTGGACCATTGTGACAACATCCATTTTTTTTTATATCAAAAGGGGCAAAGCCCCAAACAAACAAGGAAACACAAAGAAGGGACAAAGAAAGACAAAGACAAAACAAATGGAAATAATAAAGCTCAACAGCCAAGAATGTCGTTTACGGCCTCCCTTGTGTGTGTTGTCTGAGAGTGAGAGAGTCGAAAATGATAAGGTTATTTTTTTAAAAAATTATCTAACATTCCTAGTAATATTTAATAACCAACCAAACATAGAATTAGTAATCTTGAATCAATATTCCCAGTAATATTTTAAGCTGCCAAATAATTTTTTAATCACATTTTCGAAAAATTTATTTTCTGGGCATATTCTTGTAAATGATGATTCTTGGACATAAAAAAATTTCTCCAATACCAAAGGTCCTCTTAGAGGTTGAGAAAAATATATTTTTGTAATTCTAATTTATTTCAGGATTATATTAGTCTTTGTCATTATAATTTTTTTAATTTTTTAATCTTAAAACGATGTCATTTTGAAGAATCTCCTTGCTGATTTTTTAGCCAATTTTTCCGGCAAAAAAATTAATTTATTACTTTTTTAATAAAAAATTACGAATAAGTAGTCGTTTTGCAAAATATTACAAATCTATAGCACCCAAACACGCCCACATGGGGCGTGTTCTCGTGAAGAGAGACACGCCCATGTGGGACGTGAGCTACTGAAGGGGACACGCCCAATGTAAGGCGTGAGTGGCAGGAAAGAGACACGCCTCTTATGGGGCGTGAGCTGTGATGGTAGACACGCCCAACATAGGGCGTGTGTGGCAGGAGAGAGACACGCCCCTGATGGGCGTGTTCTCCGTGGTCTATATATATTGGTTTTTCACTTTTTTACCTCATTTCCACCCTCCCATCCTCTCTCTAAACCTCCTCTTCCTCCTTCTCTCTACATTTCTTTTGGAGGGTTTTGCGCATCGAAGCTCTATCTCTCTTTCATGTAAGTCCCTATTTATTGTTTATTTTTTTTATTAACAGCAATTAATATATGATAGTTATTAGTGACTTAGATAATTGTTAGGGGGTTAGAAAAATATTTGTGACTTTATTTAATTGTTAGGGGGTTAGAAAAATATTAGTGACCTATGTAAGAGAATTGTGATGTGACTTAGGTATTAGATATGGACTTAAAAATTAATTAGTTACTTCTAAATTGGTATATGTTGGTTTTATGACTTATTTACACACTTAGAAATTAGTTTGTGACAATAAATATTTTTTTATGAATGACACTTGCAAACATACTGACCTTTCAATTAACCACATTATAATTAGGGTTTGTAAAAAAAGAAT